TGTACTCGCGTAAATCGATCCGAGACTGATACATATATTCTTATTGTGCTCGAACGTAAGAGAGAGAGAGAGAGAACGAATCTCATATAGAATACAGTTACAAGGGTATTAGGAAGAATTCGACGCGTGCCGATCGACGTGAATTTCTGGGAGGGTGTGTCGTGTGGGCGTGAGGGTGTCGCAGCTGCCGCTCTACGTGCACGCGCCCCACGTATTGCTCGTTGAATACGCACGCTTCAACGCGGATACGCGTGCGTATTCGTGTATTTGTACAATAAAATATGTACAATACGGTGGATCCGACATCGCGCCTAATGCAACTTTGCGCTCGCCAAGGTGCATCTTCGTCTTATACAAATTTCCTCATGTACGAGAAAATGATGAAAATCGAGCAGCCATACTATCCCATATTAGACGTGAAATCGCCTATTACCGGGCCGCGAAAAAGTCTCAAGTGACAGGAAGACGAGCAGAGAAGGGCGCCTTGCTTTTCTGTCGACTTCCGGGTCCTTCTTCGGTATTTTATTTCGGCTTAAAGAGTAGGTATGTTCCTTTTTTCGTTGAACATGTCATTTTTGATATATCGATGTAACATTTTCAGCTCTGCAAGAATGTCGTTAGAATCAAATATAATTTGCGATTTATTTGAATACTCGTGTTATAAATACAGTGACCATATTTTCTAAGAGAAAATAAATTTGAAAATTTTAGGGTTTTGTTTCAACATGTTTCCAAGTCAGTTTGCGACCAAAAAGTGGAGATTGCTTGACAAGCGAAAAGAAATAATTCTGTGACTATCAGAAGTCTACGTTTTTATTTTTATAGTTTGAAATTAATTCGACTATGTCAAAATAAACCCTTGGTTTTTTAAATAGGTTTCGGATAAGAGGTACCGTTGTTTTATTATATAAATTCTCACGTTAATACTATGATATTAGACGAAATTGAGTTTGAGAAAAATGAATAAATTTAAACGACAGCTATTTAAAGTAAAAGACTGATGGTCACCGTAGTTATAAAGGTCTTGAGAAAATTTTTATCTTTACGTCGGTCTTTTTTTGAAAGTGACAATTAGAAAAACATCGTGATCTCGACATTTTCGACGACGATCACCGGCGTTACTAACAGCCTTTTCATCTTTGATCGTTACGCGTTTTTTTTCCTTTTCTTTTTTTTTCTTTTTTTTTTTTTTTGATAGGCGAGCGAATGCCCACGCGTATACACCGTGCCCGAAAGCAACCGGATCTGAAGCGGGAATAATTTGCCTCCTACCAGCACAAATTCTAATACGCAGGCGGGCACGGTAATGACTACAATCATCCGGGACCGTACAATGCTATCTGATCGGATCACAAAATGGGCACGTCGTTGTTTTCAAAACAGGTATGATTGTAGAGCTTTCGCGACGCTCGGCAGATGCTGCGCCCGAAAATGCCCTTTATAATAACAGAAATTCGTCGCCATAAATTCCGATGATTTCGACACAACCGAGGTTGAGGTGCGACTTCCTTGTCAATAAAGATTGCTTCAAACATTTCTTTCTCGCCTCCGATACGCTTATTTCCCCGTAGACGCGTTTATTGAAATAAAATATGTTTAACGCAACGTAAAAATATTCATGTTCAAGCTCATTCATTTTCAGAACATAATCTAGTCGCAGGTTACTGTTATGTCGTTTCTTCGCCATTGAACAGATCGATTGACGACGGAATCGCGAATCTCGTGTTACGGCCGATTTTCGATAAAAGACCGAGGAAATGCGCTACAATAACGAAAGGACGAAGGCGTCGTCGAATGCGGAAGTGTCGTAGCATTCGAAAAGGGACGACGGATCAATAGAAATCGTTACCCTGAAAAGATCACTCGTGGTCGCGGCGACGATCTAGAAGCAAAGTAAAGTAGCGGCTTTGAAGAGTACCGCCATATATATATTGCGAATGCGTTCCTTCCTCGTTTCGTTTTAGCCGCCTTTAAGCAGCCATAATGGTGACTTGGGAATATCAGATCCTGTTCGTCATTGTTGCCCCCGATGCATCATGCGCCGTGCATGATGCGGTGAAACTTCGACTCTACTCGTATCCGTCGATCGATCATCCCGTGCATTACGTTATGCAACACTTTTGAAAAATTGCTTGAAAAAATTTTAATATTTATACGATTATCTGAAGGTAATCTAAACAAGATTTTTTGAGAACAGAAATAAAATTTGCATCCCCTAAACTCTAAAATATTTTATACGTGTATAAATTATATATGTACAATGTATACGTACTTTTGTTTTGAAGAAATGTACAAGAGAACTAGTACGAACATGTAATTATATAATATTTTGCTCTAGTACTATCGCATTTGCATCTGAAATAATGAAGAGTCTCATCGCGCACAGTTTTCTTTACTGTTAACCGACGTGAACTAACCTTTGCGAGCGTTTTTTATTTGAATCGTTCGAATTGCAAATCTGCAATTCATAGCTTCCTTGAGCTCAATCATAATTACATGATTAATCTGCGGGAATATGAAGAAAGAGAGAGAAAGAGGGATAGGGAAAGAGAGAGAAAGTAAGAGAGAGAGAGAGAGAGAGAGAAGGATAGATAATTTATGCAACTCTGCTCGTTCGTTGTTACTCATGTAACCGCAAATTGCGTACTCATATTCATTATGACATACCTAAGACGTTTTTATGTCTGTGTACGTATTAATTCCATTTTTTTCAATACATCTGTGTAAGGTAAGGATACTTTCAAATTGACCAGACCAACAAAAAGCAATTTTTTCTTAGAATTTGTTTTAGTTATTTTATATTTTTAATTCACTATATCACCACATTTATTTCTTACGAACATTTGTGCACTAAAAAAAAGTTGTTAACTTGACTAAATCGTTCAACTAAATTACAATTTTATTAATTGAACATGTAATAAGTATATTTAAGTCAAATACACATTTTGTTAGATTTAATATGTTGTATTTAATTTAAATATTTCTATATGTTCAATTAATAAAATAGTATTAGTTGAGCGATTTAATCAAGTTAACAAAATTTTCACAGTGTATGCATTGTTTGTCAGAAATCCACGATAGCTCGATCGTGTGTATTGCTTATTAAATTCCAAAATTATAAAATAAAAAACTCGAATTAAAATTTTTGGTATACAGAAAAAACAAATAATAAGTTTCTCGCACACATATATTTGCCTCGACTTGCGTATATATCTGCAAAAAAGCCGCAATATATAATCATCTGTCACTACGCGTACAGAGCGGAAAGGAATCCGGGCTTTCTTACCGCGTCATGTAAGATGTGCGTAAGACTCGTGGTTGGCGAAAGGTTTATCATGAGGTATCATTAAAATCAGCGGTAAGCCTCCCTACCGAAGTAATTATAGGCAGCAGTGTCGAAATTGCGAATAAATGGGGCGCTGTAAATTTTCGACGCATAGCGTCGCGCGGCGAAAAGAGGAAGAGGAAGGGTGAGAGGTTCAATTATCGCTTCGTTTGCGCTCACAAAATTCCCATACAAGAACGCGGATAATCGTCTTCGTTAGCGGGATTAAGGATTATCGTCATCGGCCGCGGTATAACCTAAGGCAACAACTTCGCCGTCGTAGTCATCATCGTTGCTTTTTTTTCACCGTTATCTTTATTAACGAAAATTATATATATTTTTATGATACCGCTCGCGTTATAAACTTTCGATGAACATATATCGTTTCTCAAATGGATCGCACTGACACGTCCCCCTATATATGCGAAAATCTCTCATTTCTCAAAGTAATAAATTTTTCTAGCGGAAAATAATCTAAGATTAATTATCATAGAAATAGAGCATACCTAAATATCAATTACTTAAGTAATTTGTTACGCTATACAAAACAAGCATGTACGAACGGGTATTCTTCGATTAAAATTTCTAATATGAAAGTGTATCGCATTACATTGAACTGGTATACGCTTCCTAAGCGGGATATAATTTTCTACTAGTTTATTACAGTTATATGTAAATCAGCAAGGTGCAAAATAAATTTTTAATTAAACATAATAAGCTTTGAAGGCATATGCTACACGTTTGACAACATTTTCTATATCTTGTATTCGAGTTTTTCTCGTTGCAGATATTTATTTCAAACTACAAAATATTCCATTAGAATTTTATTCTGTTATACATATATTGTAGATTGGCGTGTGTGCGAAGTTGGTGTCTAATTTCGTGGAAACTCATGAATAATTAAAAGTTCTGACTTTATTCTCAATAGTTTTAAAGTTCTTGATAGTTTAAAATAGTTTTGGCCATTAAAACAACGAAAATGTTTTGGGATAAACTGAGACGACAACTTCACGCAGCGTCTCACTTTGTTCTGCGGCATTTTCCTCATCAGTTATTATCAGGATTAAAAAACAAATTTATAGTTCTACATGAGTTCTAAAAAGAGTTCTATCTTCTAAAGCAAAAATTAATTCAGCTAAAATAAAGACATTTGATTATCTATATTCATAATTATTGAGATAAGACGCCAGTTGATTTTCGAGAATTATTCTTCGAACGAATCTCTTTTGAATTTTAATTAGTTATTCATATTAAGTGTCATGTATATAGTATCGCGCGCGTTATTAGAATGCAGTTGCCGATGTTTGTAGAGTAGCAAATAGTTTCAGCCGAATACGTCGCGAGTTCCAGGTAGTTCGAGCTGCGTTCCACTGTGATTAATAATTAATTAGTAAGCATAATCGGTTCTAACTTTGTATTGCAACATTTATTAATCTCATATCATAATTTCAATGTTCATATGCAGTTGTATTTATTCGAAACACAAATTTTGCGAGAAATTGCAAACTCTCTTGTCAATTGCCAATAACCCAACCTAATCTGTTTTCGCGCGCTTTTGTGTTGCGATGTGTGATTATATCTATTAATTCTAGCATACAATTTATATTGTGTATATGTTATAATGCGAAATAATAAAATTATTCTAATATATTTATATGCATTTTATTTGTTACAGGTAGCATTGCCATACACAGTGCGATTCACGCGTCGTGTCGGGAGTGCCGTGTAAAGTGTCGCGCGTCGGGAGTGTAAAGTTTCGCATATCGGGAGTGCCGTGTAAAGTGTCGGGCGATCGTAATTATTCGTATTTTCGCGAGTGTCGTGAGTGCTACCAAGAGAGGAGGAGGAGGCCCGGGGAGGCATCGGGTGACAGCGGGGCAACTGTGAGGTATGCAAAATAAACACAATATATATAATATTAAATATAATATTATAAATAAACATACTCTATACTGTACACACACACGTATATACATAATTTGAATATTTTGTTTTCAGATCTATGTGCTGCGTACTACAACTCTGCTGCTGCACGTCTCGGTGAGTGAGTTGTTTTTTTATAACATTGCTATAGAGGTAATGGAAGTGTGTGAAACTGGCGTTTCATTTCGTGAAAATTCATTAAAAATTAATTCATTAATGATTAAACTAATTAATAATTAATTCTGGCTTTATTTTCAATACTTTTAGAGTTTTTGATAGTTTAAACAATAGTTTTGACCATTAAAGCAACGAAAAGGTCAAAGCGAAACGATGCATGAATTTTGGTGTCTTGTCTTTATTCGTTATATAGATATTTCTACGAAATGAGACGTCGGTTTTACATACACTGTATAAATGGTTACCTCGATCGATGATTGCTGAATGAATAGTTTGAATATTAATCGTGTTATTACCGCTTATCACTTAAACGTTTTTGGAATGCGTCGACGCGTGCGATCATGATTCATTCCTACCAATAATATAGCGGTTACCGCAGGAACGTCGCGAAAACCGCTCGGCGAATATCCCGGACGTGCCTGACCCTGAAGCGAGCCGCGCGCATTTCTACTTACCGTCTGTTTAATTCGATCAATTTGCGTTGCGGGTCGCGATAAATCCCGCTGGTAAATCGAATGCAAATTGCAAATAAATTGCAGTCCTACTCTCGTCATTTGCACGGCATGCAACTTCTATGAAACAATTTCCCTTCTGGCTTTCCCTGTCTCTCTCTTTCTTTCTGCGCGTCTCGGCTCTACCTCCACCCCGTGTTCGCGCAGACCTTTCCCTCCCATTCTTTCCTTCTGGTTCTTCCCTCATCAGGTTTACCTCCCTTCGTTCCGTATAGTCTCCTGTATCAATCAGCTAATTACTCCACCCTTCGGGTCAATTATATCATTATTTAATTAATTACGCGTGTGCAATTCTCCCGCGGCCCCGACTCGCCCTCAACTTCTTGCCCCGCGTACGCATTAATTACAACCTTTCGGGTCGTCGGATCGCCGTTATTCCACGCGCGCACGACGTATGCAAATCCCATAAATGCGAGCATGACACGATCCCGCGCGATATTTGCATCTCTTTACGCTATTATCGGACGGATGCAGCGACGTCGCGTGTACGCGAGTCACTTTGCGAGTCTCATCGCCGATACAAGCCGCATATCGCCATTCTGCGGATTACATGATGGTATAACTATCTTCGAGACGTATTTACGTCCTGTTTGCGTGGAACAAAATACGAAGGCGGCTTTTTCCATGACATCACTAACGATACGTAATTCCATGAATTGAAACAGCGGTATTTCGCGAAGATTCCATCATTCTTTTCTATACATAGAGGGAAGACGTATTATGAAAAACGAAAACGTTATTATGTTAAAGTGCACTCGTGGCTTTGCGATAATCGCATAAATAGGGTGAATGATTCGATTTTCCGTGACGTCATATTATTTCTTTTTTCGTTTTGATAGTTTGAATTATCAGAAAAAAATAATGTAATGCTACATCCGACTTTCAAATAAGAGAAATAATATATATAAATTTTTGTTTTATTATTTCCAATATCGACGTTAATATCGACGTTCAAGTTGGTTTGCGAAGAAAAATATATACGTGTGCATTTTGCTTCGGCAACGAACGCACTGTACAATTACCTGCCATTTTCAAGTAAACGCGGTGCGTGTACGCGCGACACGAGTGAACGGTTTAGCGAGCGTGCACTCGACCGCACCTGAGCCTGAACGTCGCCATCATTTCGACTTAATATCGATCGTAGATACACGATACCTGCAAGTAGCGATCTTACAAATGCATTATGCACGGTTTCTGCGAGAAACAGATAACCTGGGACGACTCGTTTACCGGTGCAATGCGTGTCAGTTGTATAGGGTATTCTGAAATTGGTCGTACAAGGGGGAAGCTTTTTCTTCAGAAAATGAAACGGAATAATTTAGTTACGTGGAATAGCTCCTTATCATCTAACCGTGTGGATTTAATGATTAATCATATTGTCGCGTGTCGTCGCGTTTGCATTGCGATATCGTCACTTGAAAGGAATTCGCAGTTGTGTATCAAGAGGATTCATAATTTTAGTTTTTTTTTTTAACAGAAAATTCATCTTGGATATAATCGATTTTATAGAAAAAGATTGATATAAAAGATGCTATCGAAAGCCAACACCTTCACGATTGCTCTTATCTCTCGTCGAACACCGATTGCGCCATGTAAAGCTTTCGAGCGTATGTAAAATTTTTTGGTAGTAACACCGGCGCGCGCGCTTGTGAAACATCAACGCAATGTCTCGGAAAGATGCAGCCGGCGCCAACGAATCCTTTGATATTCAGCCGCGCGGACGCTTTTTCAGGTAGCCACAGACGCATTAGTCGCTCCTCTCATTCTCCTCTTCCATCCCTCTCGCCCGATACTCTCGACGCCGAAGACGCAGGTATCTAAATGAGCTGCTCAGAATCGTTAATAGGCTGCGGGCTCCGATGAACACGTGTCAACATTACCAATACACATCGGTCTATGTATTCTATACGAGATTAATCATCGACTAGCGATTTCTTTTTGCAAAATTACATATTTTTTGTTACGCAAAATAATTGCATATATTTAGATAATCTCGTATACTAATTACAAAAATTCGTCTTGTTTCAACTGATTCTTTTATTTTTTTCTCGCGAATTTGTCACTTCAAAATTATAACTTATTAAATTCTTATTATTTTTGTTCTTTATGTAGTCGATAATGATTCATTATCACACGCTGAAAAAATTAGAAAATGCGCATTTTTTTAAATTATAAAATAGTATAAAGTCATTAAACCTGTCAGTAAATCGCGATATATATATCTATATATAAATTTCTTCAAAATTATTTTTCTATTTTTGTTGCGAGATATCTGATCTGAATCTGATATTTAAGGAATGTGATTAATATTTCTGGATATACATTTGTCTTTCTACTGAAAATTCATCACTTGCCGATATTTGAAACTGACCTCGCAGCATGATGCAGGTTCACCGAGAAGAATCGGGTAATGAGTTGGAGCAGACTCTGGCGCCAGCGGCTGCGTCACGGCGGCTGCCTTATTTAGTAGAAACTGTTTTTTGTCATTTTCTTCTGGCTTGATACAAGAAAATTACAAGGCTTGCCGAAAATATACCGTGTATCGCATCGTATAAAATAATCGCCACATTATTGTACAACAAATTTCATCGTTTTTCTTTTATACAATACATATATATTCAGTTTCTCTTCTATAATATTTTATTTTATATAAACCATGTATTGAATATTTGTTTGATAATATTGTCATAGATTGTGCTCTATATTTGACTAAAAAAAAAAACGCAAACGTGGATAGAGCTTGCGAGTGTGCGAGAGCTTAAAAAAAATTCGAGACACGCGTGTAATAGTGCTGGACAGTGACGTTCGATTTACGTTCGATCAAATTCAATTAAAACGCATAACGACCCTATTCGAAGGTCATCACGGGACGGATATTGACGGATCCAAGGGTTCGACGTGTCCCGTCGCACTTTGAATTACTATTGGATTATACAGCCAAATTCAAGGTTTTGGCTTCGGGCTGCGCGGCGCGGAGAACAAGACGAGGGTCTGACTGCCGCTTTATTGTGTCGGCTTCTCTCCTTTCGCTTCGTTCGATAAAGGATAGCATTAGTAATGGGTTTTAATTACTTTATAATGAGGCCGTGATTTGGCTCCCTCGACTGGCGCCAAGGTTGGGTGTACTTTAGGAAAAAAGGGACGCGCTGCCGCGACTCGCGGTTTATTGGCAGGTTGATGACTTTATACTCTATTTTATAATAAACAAAGAATACGTTTCTAAATTTTTTTTAGTATGCGGTAATGAAAGCTTGATTCGATCATTAACAACTACTTAAAAAAAATAATAAGAACGAGTTAATTTTGAAAACTGACGAATTCGCGAGAAAGAGAAAAAAATAGAAATAGTTAAAACGAGACGAATATTTTTAATTAGCATACGAGATTGTTTAACATATATATATATATGTGTATATTATAATAATATTGTTGAAAGAACTTTCACGTGCGGCTGTATGTCAAAGAAGTAGCTAATTAAATTATTTCGTGCGTTGATTTAAACATCAAAGAATCCGTTGGCTTCTTCGACCAGTCACCATTTGATTCGAGAAGCTATTGTGTTCATCGATAGTTCATTTCATCTTGTCAATTAAAGAGAACTCGAAAAGCCGAAAGAAACCGATTATCTTTCTTTGGTCCAAATAGTTAACTGATACGATATTTTTTATATATGTACCTATATTAAAAATGTATTTTATTAATATAAAATTATTGTACTCTATTTTACTTTTATTGTTTGATTATTCAGATTTTTTTATTGTTTTGTTTATTGGATTTTCTTTGTGATACAGCTATTCTTGCTTTGAAAAATTTTTTAAAGAGACTTTCTAATTATTTAATATATCTCTAATCGAATAAGATTTAAGATTTTACACAAATAAAATTTTATGTATCGATATAAGCAAGAGAATGTCATAAGAATAAATTCAAATAGGTACTTAAAATTAGTTACATCAAGGTAATAGTACTTGTTGGTTGGTACAGAGTCATTTTTAAGTCGTGATGGCTTCTGCCCATTAAGCGGATAAGATCTTCGACCGGTTGATCGTACCTTACTCTCTTTCGACCCCAATTTGTATCTTTCCACCATCGTCGGTACTGCCTTTACAAAGCCGGCTTTGTTGGAATGCGAAAAGTGACGCTTAGCACTCCGATAAGATCGCAGCAATGTCGCACCTCTCGAGAAAAGTTGTTGAAAAGAGCAGATTAACGTGATGGTGGGGGACAGGGTAAAATGTAAAATTTATAAAAAAATATTTATTTTTTAAGTTTAGAAAACAATGAAAGAAAATATTATATAGATAAATAATAAAAAGAATATTCGAAAAATAACTTTTCAAATCAAATGGATGGAAAATTCAAGGATACATGTTTTAACAGCGCGTCATTTTTATCCAATTTCTTTTTTTTTTTTACAGTAAAACAATA